ATGCGGAACTGCGCAATGCGGAATTGGCGGAACGCTCGTGATTGGTCGTGGCTTCATTCCGCCGATTCCGTTCCGCTAAAGTGTGTTTTCCTATGTCCCATGAAGCGGAATATGCGGAATGCGCAATTAACGTTGACCAATCGCAAGAGTCTTTCCGTAGATCACTCTCATTAGATCTACAGAAATAGCGTTTGTCATTTGCTCGCATTGATTGCGCATTCGCAAGTTCCGCTCTATGGGACATAGGAAACTAAACTCCTGCGGATCGAAATCACACACATATATCATACACTTGTCAAAAACTTTCAACCGAAAAACAACTGCTTGGAATAGTTGGTGGCACGATAAATATTAAAAAAGCAATTATAACAAAATGAATTCGGAAAACTTATTTATCATCATTTGTGAGCTATTAAATTCATTAAAACAAAGTGTATGTGTATTTAAAAAGCAAAAGCTACGCCGCAAGATTGTAAAGCTATATGTATTATACAAAATTGCAGAGAGAAATAAAAATAATAAAAAACTAAAATAATAAAAATATTGGGTGCGACCTATATTCAGCATTGAAAGAAGATCACAACAAGGAGCAAGTGAAAATCTTGTAAAGGAAATGCAGATTGGAGACACGGAAAAATATGTAGATTATTTTCGAATGTCACCTCAATTATTTGAGGCATTATTACAATTAGTCGGACCAATCCTCACTAAAGAGTATGTTGTTCGTGAACCCATTTCATGTGTCACTCGGCTCCAAATTACATTGGGCTATTTAGCATCAGGGGATAGTATGAAATCTCTATCATACGCCTTCAGAGTTGCACATAACTCAATCTCAAAGATAATATCCGAGACTTGTACAGTCATTTGGGACTATCTGAAAGATTCAGTTTTTATCAAGGATACTAATCAAGATTGGAAATCTATATTCGCGATCCTATTTTATCTAAGACTCGGCTCCAAATTACACTGCGCTATTTAGCAGGAGATAGTATGAAATCCCTGTCAGATGCTTCAGAGTTGGATACAATACACACGCACATACTCAGGGATCAGCGGAATCCGCAAAAGAAATAAATTTGCGCAATAGAAAACGGCGGAATCGGCGGAATGAAGCCACGACCAATCACGAGCGTTCCGCCAATTCCGCATTGCGCAGTTCCGCATCCATGGGATCGCACCATAGGGTGCAAACCCATGCAGCGGAATAACGTAACGCGGAACGAGAGTAGAACCAATCACGAGATTCTCTAGAAACACGGAATGCTCGTTATTGGTTCTGCTCTCGTTCCGCGTTACGCTATTCCGCTGCATGGGTTT